ATTTTAATCTGAAGTGTCGTAACTTTGGTGGGGATATATTTTTATACGATTCCCACAGACGGCGCCAAAGTGTAGGTGCAAAATTTCGCTCAACCAATAATGATTGAGAAAAATAAAACAACTCACTCAAAAAACAATAAAAATAAATAAGAACGGTGTATAGAGAAACGTAAATTGCTTGATCACTTTATTAGAGGTCTAAGCCTCTATTTATATACAAAAGATTGTAAAATTATGGTAGGATTCGCGTTGCTGGTCCTCCAATTCTTTCTATATAAACATTCGTTACTAATAGAGTTCTTTCCATTGTCTAATTTTCCATACATAGAACTTTTCTTGTACAGAACTTCCTATCTCAGAATTTTCCTTCTACGGTAAATCCTTCAACTGGTAGGACTTGTGCATTCTTGAGTAACTGGGCTGAACATACTTTGATCCGGCTGGGCTTGAGTAACGGACCGGATGTTAAATATTAACATGTTGGGCTGATAATTTTTTAATTCGGGCTTCAACAGGGCTAAAGGTCATATAACAATAGTATTGGGCTTGTGAACAGTGATCTTGGACTAGTATCAAACTCAATTTGGGTTTGAGCGAGGTGGGCTTTATAAACTTATCAAGAATATGTTTATATTTATGATGACATGGATTATTCTCATTGGAAGGGATTTTTTCCCTCCACAATCCTTTAATATAAAAATTCTCTTCCAATTATGTTTAATAACAATATATATGTATATGTAACACACACTATATAGTGCTAGAGATTATGCCATAGTAGAGTACGTTTTTTAATCCTAACTTTGAAGCTTTAGGTAACTAAAAAGGTAAAAATTTATAATAGAATTATTGAAGATGATCCATATCCCTCAAGTATTAGGTAGGTCAAAACAAGTTTGATTTTGTAAAAATAAACTTGAACAATATCATTTAAATCAGATTATTTAACCGAAGAGTCTAATCAAAGATAAAAGGATCAATTATTATTCCATTCAATAGATAAAAACTTTTGACTACAAAAACAATTGATTTATTCAATCAAGTACAGATTTTTCAGAGCATGGGTCATCTTTTGGGCTAAAGGAGTTTGTGCACATAGGCTCCACTCATTTTGTCATATTTGAAAAATTGAAACATTCGCTAATAATCTCATAATTGATTAAAATAATTATAACAATCCCATGTATGTATGTGCGTGTATATACACACAGAGTTAATAATATTGGCTATAGGATTATAGTATGTATAGAGAAGAATGTTAAGAAATGATGCATAATTCTAGAAATTTTCAGAAGTGAAACTTGACAGATCAATAAGTCTAGATAAATTGTCTGTAACAAATTTTTTTTTTTTTTTACCACTTTTGTTTTTAACAAATGACATATAAAAAATTTGTGTGCAAACATCTGCAAAGAAAAAAATACAAAAAATTGTAACCGAAATCTAGAAAAATTGAGAGAAACCTAGAGAAACTAGGAAGTATGAGTGTTGTTTATCATCTACACTAATGTCTATTTTATTGAATTTAACTGATCTACAGTGACCATCATTATTTGGAATTGGTCAATTTAGATACAAATTCATTGATGTTCAAATCAGAAGTCCCACCTTCACTAACTGCTTCTTTGGCCAAATCCCTCCATTTCATAGCATTCTTTCTCATTTCCTTCCCTCTTCCTCCCTCCATCACTTCCCTTACACAACCCTCAATTTCTTCTCTCCCCACAATGCCCTTCTCATCGACCCTAACTCTCACACCCACCTTCCAAACATCCTGGACAAACTTGGCATTCGTCGTCTGATCCGTCCACAGCGGCATCACCACCATTGGCACTCCCAAGCTCAATGCTTCAATGGTGGAATTCCACCCACAATGTGAGAAAAAGCACCCCACCGCCTCACTCGATAGTATTTCCAGCTGTGAACTCCACTTTACGAACAAACCCTTCTCTGGCGATGTCTCATCCATAAATTTTTTGGGAATTTTTTCTCCCTGGGAATCTCTAACCACCCACAAGAAGTTGTAGTTGCTTCCCTTCAAGCCCCATGCAATTTCCTCCATTTGCTCTTGTACTAGGTTGGCCATACTACCAAATGATATGTAAACAACCGAGCCCTTTGGCTTGGTGCTTAGCCAATGGGTGCAGTTGGACCCGTCTGAGTGGAAGAGGTTGAGCCCGTATTCATAGTCATTTTCGACCCGGTTGTCCAAGTAGAATGATGGGATTGTTGGTCCTATTGTTATCAACGGACAGACTTTTGACATTGTGTCCACCACCTATTTATTGTGAATAAAAGCACACTACAAATTATTATATAACTAACCATTATTTCATACACAACTTAATTTCAGCAAAAATGATGATATAGTGTATTAACCATCAAATTTAGGCTTGAAAATATTTGAAGAGAGAAATTATTAGAGATGATTCATATCCTCAGGTATAAGTAGGTCTAAACAAGTTTGATTTTGTCAAAACAAAATTACTTAAAAAATACTATTTAGATTTAATAAGTTAATCAAAGAGTTTAGTCAATCATAAGATCAATTATTGAAAAAAAAAAAAAAAAAAAAACACTTGATTAGACTCTTCAATTAGACTATTTTGTGCAAGAATCACTGTTCAAACTACTTTTACACCCATTTTACATATCAAGCTCAAAAGGACAAAAACCATTGAGATGGGAACTCCACTCATTTTGGTCATTAATAACCTCAAGATTGATTAAAAAACATAACAATAATCTCATGCATGCATGTGTGTATATAATATGAGGAGCTAATAATATTGGCAGAAAAAGAAAAATATATATATATATATATATATTTGTTATAGGATTATAACATGTATAGATCACCTTATCCTCCAGCTTGTAGAATGTGTTAACAAGAACATAGTCAGCTTTTTCCACATGAATAAATTGATTCAATACCAGCTCAAAGTAAACCGGGTTCGAGCCGTGCACATAAATGAATGATGGCATGTCCGGAAGCTCAAGCAACGGCATCCCCGGAATGGAAACCGGCAGCGAAGAGACCGGGAGCTTCAAAAATCCGTGATACGCATAATAGTATATGTAATTAACGCAGCATGGTTGGGTGAAGAAAGTGGCTCCAGCTAAGCCGAACTGTTTGGTTACTTTCAGAGGCCAAGGTAAGGTGGCGTCATAAATGACACAATCAATGGGATGGTCTGAGCTTTGGTACCTCTTGATGAGTTCAGCTAGGGTTTGAGAGCCTGAAACTTCTAGACGTTCGAGGTAGGCTTGGACGCTCTCGGCTTGCATGAAGCCGCCTTCGTCGTAGCCGTCGGATATCGTGTCGAACTGGACGGAGTCGGATTTTGGATCCATTGTGGTGGAGATGAAGGTGGTGATGGCTAGAGTGGCTTTGAGGCCTTTGGAGACGAGGCGCTTACAAAAATGGAGCATAGGGTTTATGTGGCCTTGGAGTGGATAAGGAAGGGCCAAAACATGTGCTCCATATGACCCCTTTTCCTTCTCCATCCTCTCCTATCCACACAAACATACTCTCTCTCTCATATGGACAAGCAATTTATAAGATGCTTACAAGAAAACAAGATATGTTACTTGCAGTATATGTATTAATTTGTCATTTTCTTACTATCATTTTCAATGCTGACAACTGCAGTGATGTCAAGAGTCACTCTCGCCCATCTTCACAAGTCTGACCTCTCAGAGAGACTGGACACTCTGGGAGTGAGGGTGAGGACCACTGCGGGGATATTTTTAGTTGTTAGGACCACAATATATAAACATATTGCTAGTGCCGACGGTGACATTGCCCACCAAGAGGTCAAGCGACACTCCAAGAATTTGGCGATTAGGTGTTCTGTTTGTAGGGAATCCAATGCCAATTAGGTCTTCTGTTTGTAGGGAATCCAATGTCCATTCAGTGCATCAAAACGACATCTGTATGTAGGGAATCCAATGCCCATCCAGTGCATCAAAACTATGCCGTTTTGATGCACCAGATGGTGCACCGGACACGAGAAGATCCACTAGAGTCTTAGTAGCCTAATACCATGCTGGTTCATAGGGGATCCGGTGCCCATCCTGTGCATTAAAACTATGCTTTTTTAATGCACCGGATGGTGCACAGGACAGGAGGGCATCCACTCTCTCATTCCAACAGGCCAACAACATGGATAATTGGCAATTAGGTGTTCTAGTAGAACCCAATGTCTATCCGGTCTACTTACGTTCCAGTAGGCCAGTGAAAACGGACATGTCACATGACAAGAACAGATATGACTTGTTACAGATAAATTGAATGAAGGACAAACTTTTTTTTATTAGTATTATTATTATATATAGGGCTTGTTACAGATAAATTTGATAAATTGAATGAAGGGCAAAATAGTTATGTTAGTAGTAGAAGTTCTTTAGCAAACTTTTTGACAAACAGATAAAAAAACTCTCATAGCATTAAAAGCTCTTCTATAATGCAGTTCCCAAACACTGACACATAAGCCAAATAGAAGAGCCAAATAGAAGTGATGGCTTCTGCTTCTCTTTCTTTTTTTTCAGTGTAAAAGCAAAAGTAAAAACTATACCAAACGGGCCCTTTGTAGAGCCTAATCCCCTGCTGTTTCATAGGGGATCCGGTGCCCATCGGTGCATCAAAACTATGCCTTTTTAATGCACCGGAAGGTGCACAGGATAGGAGGGCATCCACTCTCATTCCAACGGGCCAACAACATGGATAATTGGCAATTAGGTGTGTTCTAGTAGAACCCAATGTCTATCCGGTCCACTTACGTTCTAGTAAGGCCAATGAAAACGGACATGTCACAAGACAAGAAATAGAGCTGCACGCGCGCACACACTCAACACACACAGAAAGAAAGGAGGTAGAAATTGGCTAAAGAGGGCATTAAATGGAGGAACCTCTCTAGCAAAAACAGTTGACTAATATTGCAGAGCTTGCATACGTGCAACAAATTCAAATGTAAAATGACAATCACTTCGCCAAAACATACTTCAAAATATACTCTCTATCTTTTTTCTTAATGGGGCTTAAGGTATATATTTCCCAAGTCAAGTAGGAGGCCAACAAAAAGGCTCATGTGTATGCATTTTGTTTAGTTTTTGCCTATTAAGCACTAATTTTTACAGCTCTAGTTATCACATCCCTTGTATCAGATAGCTGAATTGTTTTTCAAAACTTCTTCCATCTGACATGGAGAGAGACCACCTAGGTAAAATAAGGACATTGCCAATGACTATAACAGTTCAACAATTTGTGATAAGAATCTTTCTACCCCATACAGCATGAATGACAGTGTCAGGCAAAATCGGATCATTGCTATTTTTTATATTCCTCATCAGCATCAGCTGTACTGCCGTCTTCTGCTCGACTGCCCAATCTCACAATGTCTTCAACGAGAATCTTCCCATCTGTAGCAATTAAGTTCACCAAAAAAAAAAACCATAAAAATAAAATAAAACAAGAACAAACGTATAATTGCTTAAATTGTGGGACTACTAATACTATCGAGAAAGAACCTAAAACTTATATATATCTATATATATATATATATATATTAAGGGAGTGGACAACTTAATAAAAGCATGATGTAGAATACCCAATTTAATTACTCGTATTTGACAACACAATAGTCAGTAATGAACATTCACAGAGAATTTAATTAATGCCTCCACCCCACCCAATCCCCATCCCCGCTCCATCATCTCCCAACACATGAAAAAGAAAAGAAAGCTAGGGAAAAAAAGAAGCTGCTTTCAATATCTAATCTACAAATTCTCAAGCTGGGTGAAATTTTTTGACTTATTATTGAAATGTTGTGTGTTCAAAAAAAAATGACACCCATTTAGACACAATGGCTGTGTTTTCTGTTCATACACATTGCATGAAACCACAAAGAATTAAACTTCACTATATCTCTAGACTCCGTTCTTTCATGTGCCATTTGGAGAAAATGTAGCCTTCAGAATATTTTATGATAAGATGCTTTTTCTTTATGAAATATTGGTCCATTGAATATAAAAAGGAAATACCAGAATTTTTGGAGGTTGTAAATAAAGCCAGTGCTCGAGCGGGGCTTAAATAAAAAACTGTTTTAGAACCATTTACTCCTAACAATGTTTAGTTACCATGGTTTTTCAGAGAAGTGTTTTAATAGCAATCGGCTAAGTCCTCCCCCAACCCCACCACCCCAACCAAAAAAAAAAACATATCAACATGTATTTAAATAACCGAGTGATTGAATCATCAAAAGTGATTGAATCATCAAAAGAAAATTTGAAAAGTACAAACCTCTATCTTTGGAAAGGTTGCTAATGAGTTCTTGGATTCCCTCCTTGTCTAAAGTGTTCTTCAAGTACATAGCTGCCGCTGCCACCTCCTCAGGAGTTACTTTCCCATCATAATCTCTGCACATATGCAACAGAGCTGAGATATTGGACTATGTAATATGAAGGTCAAAATTAACTAAAAAAGAAAGATTGTAATTGAAACCAACCAAGCCTGCTCCGTTGGACTCTGCTTAAGAGTCATTTAGATGAGAAATATTCATAATATATCAAATGACAGGACAAATAGGGGAGAATGGATCAAGATCAGCCAGGTCCAACTCAATCACACCAATAGACATTGGTAAATATACAAGGCCACAGCGATTCAATACAATGATTTTCAACTAAGAGACCTCATACGGTGAATTTACCAATTAATCAGATGGTTTTGACTATTGCAAGATTTGAGGCTATTTTGTAAAACATCCACTCTTCTATAATTGCCCTAATTATTATATTGGAAATAATATTGAAATCAGTCTATGTTGTTGTTACTGTCCTATGAAACCCATAAAAAGGTGGCATGGCTAATGCAACTAGGCAAAAACACAAAAAAATAAAAACTAGAGTTTATGATAAGACTAACATGCTTTTGCATAGATGTGAGCCATCTTATAAGCTCCATCCAGTGGCCTCCTAGTATAGGCATGGGTGCACGTTTCTGCATCATAGAGTTGCAATATTTTCTTCCCCAAAAAAAAAGTACAAGTTTTAATTGGTGATTGGTCACTGAATTTAAATTCTTTCTAGATATTGCCTTGCTCATAACAAGGCATTCATATCTATTTCCTCCTAGATTGATCAAATTTCAGAATAAATATCAGTATCTACTCTTTGCAAAACAACTCCAGCCAATTAGTCATTGGACCATCGAGAACATTACAAATTTTGTGGGAGGAAAATTCGTTGTTTGAATAGAAAACTCACACCAATATAAAAATTTCCCTGACCATGATGAGACAGTGATCGGAGGGGAAAATAAACACGAGTGGTCTCATCGAAGATAATGAAATACTGTGAATCCTAAAATCACAACATCACCTTTCAATCACGGATACGAGCACTCTAAGCAATATGGTCCTCTTCAACAAAAGCTAGTCTCACCCAAGGCCCAGTCCCCCCTCAAGGTATGTTCACAGCTTGGTCTAATGTGTGCAAGGATTGGCGGCGTATGGCAGTATGTTGATGGGATATCTAAAAATTCTAATATATCCCCATGGGAATGGTCTATTCAAATGCACTCTACAACAGGGTTTTATGGCATTGTGCTGATGGTGTCATAATCATCGCAGCTAGACCTGTAAATGGAACAGATTTGTAACAGATGAGGCTTGATCGAATGTGATAAGGTTAGTTTTGCCTCTTGTCCTTTCCGTTAATTTTGCCTTAAGCTTCTCCCATTCTCTTTGATTCCCATCCTACCCATTCTCTAGTCTCTACTGTGAACATGAACCACCTCACCTGGCTTAACCTAGACTTGCAATTTTTAACATTAAAGTATAGCCTGTCGACCCTGTCTGCTAGTATTCCATCAGATCATCTACCCTCAATTGCAGAATACCAATATACGATAATATGTGAAACATAATCCAGAACAATTATATACCTGTCAAGTAGTCGCCAACCGTCACCAATCTTGGCATCCACATCATCAATTTCCTTTTCAAGAGTTTGAAGCATAGCATCAACCTGAAATTTGATGGAAATACAAAATAATGGAAAATCATATTAAAGATACGCGGTATTCATCATAACAAGTACCAGAAAAGAAAAAAAATTATTCATCCATCATTTATTTATATTTCAGTACTAGAAATTCTTACTCTATCTATTAGCGCAGATGAAACATCATCGCCTACATCCTCTTCAGCAGCATGATCACTTTCTTCACGGGCAGCTCGATATGCCTTCATGGCATCTTCTTCACCATTGGTACCCTCTTTCTCTACCATGCTATTATAAAGTTCTATCTGGATAGGTCAAAGCAATTTACCATGAGTAAGAGGGATGTGATAAGCTGTATTTAATAACAAAGGAGAACACACAACAACTCAATTTTTTTTATCATGTAGACGTCAAATTACCTCTCTACTGACACAACAATACTTGTGCATTAAAGTAGTAATAAAAACAAACAACTGATAATCATTCATCCGGTTGGAAACAAAGGTCAAAGTTGTCAAACACCCACAACTCGATCCATAACGAAGTCCAAATACACCATCATATCAGAAAATAAGAAAATTTAAACAAACCTAAAATCCTTTTTTACTCAAATAAAAAATTACAGATTAGACATCAAAACTATCATGTTGGCATTGAAAGACTAATTTAGACATCAAAACTGGGAATGAAATATAAGAGTGTTCAGTTGACACAGAACCAAGGATAATTATGAATCTATGAGAAGAAACATGAGAAAAACTTATAGTTAGAGAATATTTAAATTAAAAAATAAAAAATGAATTAAAAAATTCTCTCTGTGTCCTAAAATAAATGTAGTTTTCTTCCCTTTCTTATTCATTCTAGTACCTTTGCTTTCTTACTTATCAAGTACATGAAAACAATAATTCAAAATGATGATACCTGAATTATGAATTCTTATCAAAGATTGAGAGAGATGCATGCAACAATCCTAAAGCCTCAACATCCTAGAAATATACTCCCTCTGTCCCAAAATTCTTGGGCTGTTTGGGGAATCCAACTTTTTAGGCAGTGGGTTTTTAATATTTTTTTATTGTATTGATAAGAGTAAATTTCCAAATTTATCCTTGTTAAAAGACAAAGGAGTACTCCATTAGTAGTGCACTTGTTTAATCAAGTCAATGTCAAAAGGATAGTTTGGCAATGTTCTAAAAAATAGTACATCCATTTTTGGAATGGGACATGTATTTTGGGATATCCCAAAATAGAAAGGGGGACAAGAATTTTGGGATGGAGGGAGTAGAAAGTTATTGAAATTGAGTGCTTTGTTTAACGTCAACCAGGATAGGTTACAATTGAATTGTCAAAGAAATAATCAATCGCTTATGTCAATTTGGATTTCAGACATACCTCCTTATTCACAAGCCCCAGGAACTCTTCGCGCTCGCTACTCACTGACTGCACAACAGATTAGCAGCAAAAGGGAATTAGCAGTGCAGATGACAAGTCACAACACTATTGAACTTTTGAGAAATAAGCACTAGAAAGGTATCCAAAATTGAAAACTACTAAAATTCAGTCCTTACAGATGCAGAAGCTAAGACAGCCAGTGCACGACTGAGTTCACAAAGCTGCTCTTGTTTTTCTAGAGTTCTTCCTCTAGCCTGTTCTTGAGCGTCTCTTGCTGTTGGATCGGTCATTTCACTCAATGCCACATCCTCTTGACTAGTAACAGTTTCCTTCATCCTTGCTTGCTCTTCTTCTTCTTTTTCTTGCTCTTCCTACAATAATTAGTTTAGAACAATTAACGTGAATAAAGAGAAGTAAATTACAATTTACAAGTGAGGCTACAGAAACTTTCCTGAGGCTCAACCTTAAAGACTCAAGTGATCCTTCAAGATGTATAGAGGACACCTCGAGATTTGAGGCTTCAGCCTCATTTTCTAACCAAATCAAGAACTAGTAGGCATGGTAGTGAAAGTGCTAGAGGAATTCTTTTGGTTTTAAGTTCGCATGGCAGGACCCAAAGTAAATGTTGCAAAAAGACTCGCGGTAACCGGAAAATGCAACAAGTCCATTGGTTAAAGTGTCCTGGCAATAGAACACTATAGTCCGTTCAAGTACAGGTTGCAAAGCTAAACAGGCTGTTAATTAGGCAACAGCATAAATCAAAATTTTATCAACCTTGATGAGTTCCTCCTGCATTTCATAGAACTCCAATTTCCTTCTCCTTTCTGAAACAGAATCTTCAGATGGTAAGGCTGTGACACCAACAGTATCCACAACCTCATCAGGGAGTGAAGACAGTGTAGCTCTAACAGCTTCTTCTGGCCTCAATTTTCCAGCTACAGTGAAGGCTCTGTGTGTGTCATCAGACCAGTAACAAGTCAGATCCAGTACAAAGTATAGATTACAGCAGGACTTTCACTTCCAAAAAAAAAAAGACCTTTAGGTACCTGGAAAGGATCATAAGTGAAGATGGTACAGAGTGATTGAGAGATAAATCCAACCAATCTCGGAGCTGCAAGAATGAAGCTGAGAAGATTAACATGAAAAGAATATGCCAAAACCTTACTTGATGCAAATTTATAAAATCTCTAGATGGGGTGGACTATCAAAAAGGATTATGTAGCTGATAGACTTCGCTTTATGCATCAGAATTAACATTTCTTTTTCCGGCTGTAGAAATCTTGAAAATTGAAATTTTCAGAGTCACTCAGCTTTAAAGATGTTAAGTTGGCTAATTGTTTAGTGTCAACAGAAAATGCTACCTTGTTTTTATGAGCACTTGAATGATATTTGTGAAGAAACACATAATGAACACCAGATATAAATTATTTTTTTTTTGATGCACCAAAAGCAATTTTTACAAACGAATAGCATCCTCTTTATGACACAAGTTTCCAACACAATTATGATCATGTAAGGTTGTGCATCCAAATTTTGTGGGTCAATAAGTATGCATATCCGTTGTACATATATTGGAAGATACCAAGAAACAATCTTATGAACAAACAATATTTTTGAGACTTTTTTTTTTTAATTGGATTTTTTACGTACTCATAAATCCAACTTGGACCTAGCAATGCCAATCAATGTGAACAATGAGTTTTGGTATTGCCCAGTTCCAGAACATAATTTTCAATGAATCCATGTAAGTTCTAAGGTTTCTAACCATCAGTTGCACAACACAAGCAAAGTACTGAGTTTTGTGTTTAAAATTTCAGCTGGTCTTTGGTGATATAATCAAGAAGCCTACAATAAACTTGACAGCAATACGTTAAAAGTTAATGACATTTTTTTATTTGAGGTGTAATTTATACAGAAATAAACATGCAATCTTGAAGTTGTCTGTAAAACTAATGTGGCTTGCATATGTGATATGCAATCTACAACTCATGCTTAATAGAGCTAACATAATCCACCACTGTTTCCATTTTTATCATATTTGTCAAATACTAATTGACAAAAGGAAAGAAAGACGCACAATTGGATAAAGAAAATACTAGAAAAGAAAAGAGAACCTGTAGGCGCATTTCTTCCACCGAACGTAATCCAAGCATGCCTCGCTCTCTACAGTCTTCACGAAGTTCAGCTTCCGAAAGTGACTCAACACCCTCCGCTTGAATCAATTTATCATCATTCTTTATCCTACCAGAACAATAACCATATAGATAATGAACATAAAGATGTTCAAGTCAAGCTCAGCACACACCGAGCTTGGTCAGGAAACTCCAGATCTCAGCTGCCAGCTCAGATTTACTCAAAAAATTTTAAACCCATCGTTTCTTAATAAACTAACCAAACTCGTTTCAATAAAATAAATATATCAAATGAAAAGAATATCTCTAACCATCGCAATCTTTTCCGTAGCATGTAACGCAGATATGCATCTGTTCCAAATGGGCTGATTCCCATATACTTGCACATATTCACTAATCGAGGCCTGATGGAAGCAAATGTATCCAGAACAAGGGTAGAAAATTTTAATATAATCTCAGTCAATAAGCAAAACAAAGACAATATACTAATGTCAAAAGAGCTAGCAAGGTTACTCTAAAATAAAAAACATTGACAGTAAAATCGAACCTGCTGATATTATCTAGCGTAAGTTCATCATTGAACAACTTGGCGAAGCCCAAGATTTCCTCATTGGATACACCGGCACCTGTTCTAACCTGCATCAACATACCAGGCCATGTAGAAAGAAAATTAATATAAAGTAAGGGGGTAAATTATCCATGTCTTCACCATTCAAACTGTACAGACCCTGTTCAAAAATTCATCAAGATCTTCCGCTGTCTTTTTAGTTTCTCCGCTCCGTGAGTTTTGGACTTCCTTCGCCATCTCTTTGACAGTATCCTGAAGAAATTTTGCATATTCTATTCTCGCATGTAGCTTCCTTTTCAGAGCTTCCTACAAGTTGAACATTCAATGTGGATCAACATCCTCAATTAGTAGAGGCAAAAAGGATAAAGAAAAGAAGCAACAAAGCCAAGGTGCGTGCTGACTGATATGCATGCAAGGATGCAATACAAGGCCAGGGTATGCACTCATACACACATGCTATACAAATTGCATGTGAGCGTGGCATGAAAGAGAGAGAGAGAGAGAGAGAGAGAGAGAGAGAGAGATGCATTAACATCAAGAGGGAGAGAGGAGAGGAGGGGGGAGGAATGGCGCCATCCCTGAACAGAGATTGAGAACTTTTGCAGGTATTTTTATGAAGTAGATAGCCCATATTTAACTTTTTCAGGTAGTTTGGCACTTCATGCTATGTCATTTTCCTACTTTTTAAAATTCAACTTGTTGGCCAATTTATGTTGTATCTTGCCCATATTTAGTCGCGAAGGTATTAGCGTTCTTCGGTAAGTTGGTAACTATGATCTAGCTATCTTAGATACTCTTTGCCTCTTTTACAATCCAAAATGGTCCATAGCCAAGAGAGTAGAGAAATAGCAAATAGATTTCTTTGGAGAGATTAGGGGAGTTTTCAATAATAACAACAAGAAGATGGTTTAAATAATAAATGAGCCTCTGAAACGGAAGTGATTAAGCAGTGGATTTTAGTATGCTGCGATCAATGGAGACATGAAGAACGGAAAAAAAAGAGGGTAAAATCCAAGGTTGTAACTCCTTTTTTGAAAGAAAATTTGTTCCATGCAGTGCTAAAATCCAATAACATACTTGTGTGGGTGCATACTGACAAGCATCTGAAAAACCTATATAATCTATAAAACTTTATCGATAAAAAATAAGTCCGACATAATGAGGAGGGGGAGAGAGAAATTTTTTGCTCCCAACTTTATCAAAGTAAGACTTTATCAAAAGAACAGTTCTAGAAGTGCAAGTTGAGTGAGACATCCCATAGGAGATCCAGTTTTCCTGAAAGCCTCTTCAAGATTTAGGCATGGAGATGCACTATATATTGTCAGGCATTCCAACACAAACCCTTTAATCAGGAAACATTGTAACAAAAGCAATAAGAGCATAAAGATGGAAAATCTGCATACAGTTCACTTCGGGTGAAGCAGCATATCGAGTGATACCCATCAGAACTAGTACCTGCTCTTTCATCTTGTCTTGAAAGGTTGACGGCAACATGTTGGGAAATAACTTCAGAAATACTGGCAGCAAGAACTCCATGAATGGGACAATGATAAAAACTGCAAAAGGAACTAGCCTGAAGATATCAGCTGTGGTTCGTGTTAGCTGTTGCCTCTCTCTCCTAGAAAGACTCTTCCCACCAGCAAGTTTTAGCAGCAACCTTGAACTGATCCTCACATCAACCCACAATAGCTTAAAACCCAACCAGTAATGTTGCAAAGTTGATACAATTTCTTTCTTCCAGTGAGTGAGTTTCTTGGCCCAATCTTCCCTAAAGGACGAAAATTTGTATCAATAAATCCACCATATGTGAAACCATGTTGTTTAAATCAAAACAGATACGAAACAGATTCTACCTGCTCATAGAGGCCACAGCTCTCAAGGCAGGACCAATACCTAAAAAAGTGGCCCATACTCTTCGTAAAATTGATTTAGCGAACTTTTGAGATTCTTGTAACTTTTTGGCTTTTAGTTTGGCCTTCGCAGTGCTCAGACCTTCAACAGCTTGATCACATTCCTGCGGAGATGCTTCTTTTCTTTTTTTAGCAACCAATTCTTCCTTTTCTTCATCATCACTACCCAAATCAGGTTTACCTGCTGTTGCCGTGGAGGCATAACGTATAGATTGCGGGATCACCCTGGCAGGCATTGGGGAAATAAATTCTGATCTTCCATTCCCATAATGAGATCCTGTCATTGCATAACATCTACGCCTAAAAAGTCCCAAGGCCGAAAAGTTAAGTAATTCCTCATTAACCTGTAAAACTGCATTTCCATCCTTTCTGCGATCTTGAGTAGCATGTTTAGCATCAGAGCTCAAACCACGAGAAACCAAATACCGAGTAGATTGACCATGATCCAGATTTTGAAAACTTTGAAACGAGCGAGCAGAGACATTCAGATAATCAGAAACAAGCCTCCTCCTCCTCAGAATAGCTCTAGAAGCCATAACCAAGTTTTCTCTTCACAAAGAGAAAAACAGTCACATATCCCAAGCACCCACTTACTTAAGCTAGAGAAACATATTAAGAGTACCAATGAAATAAATTATAACAAACATATATACAAAATAAAATAACTGCCAAATAAAATTTTAACCCAAAAAGGTACTACATTTCCGTATATTTGACATTTCTAGTCAATTCATTTCCAAAATGCACATTCAAAAGAAAATTAACCAATATATAATCAATAATATAGTACAAAAAGACCTAGCTCCAAAAAAAAAAAAAAAAAAAAAAAAAAGAGAAAAATGTTCAGAAAGAGAAACAAAGACCTAACTAATATTAAAGCCAGCCCCACCTCAAAATTGAAAAGACGTGGAGATACCACTTGAGCTAAAGGTTTGGTTGTACAAAAATGAAAATGTTAATGAAGTGCAAAGCGAAATTATATTCCACCATCAAATAAAAACAAAAAATAACCTCATAATTGAAAAAAGAAAAGAAAAAATAGTTAATTTTCTCTCCTATACATCTAAACACTATATTTGAACTTTAAAAACTAACTATAAGTACAGATACAAAAAACAAAAAGTCTCAAGTTTATTCAAGATGGTGTAGTCAAAAGTAAATTTGAAGTTCCATAAGGCACACAAAATTAATTTAATTAAAAAATAGAAAGAAACTGGGGAAAAAAATAGAAAAAAGAAAAGAAGAAGCGATGAACAAAAGAAAATCTCAAGCTTGTGTGCTGCTGGTCACGAAAAAAATTTATCAAGGCATCAAGAAAACAGAAATAAGAAAATTTCATACAGAATAAAAATTTCTCAGCGTAACATGCCATTCGAAAAACACATATAAACAAAAGCAAAATTAAAGCGGAAATCAAGTTACGAGCCAAAGATATTTATATACATACACATACGAACATATTCATAATTAAACTACACATACACTAATTCATACAGAAATTACAACATAATAGATATACAAAAATATGTATAAATACAGAATCAATGTCCTTAGCTCAGTACGGAGGTGACTACTTACAATTTCGGCAAGACTCGGCACCAATGGTCGAGAAATCGACGAACAAACCAACCGGCAGAGAGGTGAGGGAATGGAAAGAGAGAGAGATGGAGAGTTCTAGAGAGAGAAATAGGACAGAAAGTTAGGGTCAGCCGTTTGAGGCAACACGAAAAACTGACGGAGACGATGCTGAGATTTTAGAGAAATGGAAAAAGGGTATAGTCAATTCTGTACGCTCGGGAGTACGTACTCCTCACCATATCCGACGCTCGATGTTTCTTCGATTCCCGTGATTCAACGGTGATTGGTTCGATGAAATTGATATTTCAGTGGGCCCCCACACGGGTGTGGGACCGGTTTTGAATTTTATACAGTGTTAGGTGGAAAGAAGCTTGTGCGATAATGGCCATATTGTAATATGAGAGAGGTATTGGGTGCATCTTGGACATATCGCCATTCGCTGTAATAGAGTGCCGCTCCAAATTTTTTGTTCTTGATCCGCAAGAAATAAATACTGTTCATTGCCACGTGGCAGGTGGAGATTGGTTTTCAGAAATGCTATAATGAGGATGTGTTTATTGTAAGCTCACATTGTCATCTATTGGATCAATTGTATAACGCATCAGTCGGTAGATCCAACGTATGATAACACAGACTCGCCGTGAACGGATCTCATTCTCAATCAAGGTTGAGCTCATTCTCTACGCTCGGTTGCAGCTAGATAGTTGAATTTTTAGACAATTTCAAGCTGGACTTGTTGGATTTATAGACTATAATTTCACATTTTTAAAAATAAAAATAAATTAGTTTCACATTATTAGGGATGGAATTATTTTGGGTCTGACTTAAGTGGCATTGAAGAAGAGTGAGAGTAGGAGCGAATTCAACAATAACAAAATATAAATTACACACTGTATGAATGGGAGCGAGAACGGGAGTTTGTTCAGAAGGTGAGAATGGTACTAGTTAATAATTATGTAACTTGTTTATAACTTTATCACTTTCTCCCATTAATGGATTATCCATTTTTTTTAATGAACACCAATTATTGCGATTTTCCATTATGGAATCGAGATGGGTGTGCGGAAGAAAAAAATTTCAAAATCAAAAGAGCTTTCAAAATCAAAAGAGCAATTGGGTTGAAAAAATAAAGGATTTTTAAACATCTTGTTATCCTATAACAAACATATGTTAATAAGTTTTTAAAAGGAGAGAGTAGCACTCGTTAAAAAAGCATGGTGTGATTTAAATTTAACTTTGTCACTATAATGTTTAATATTATCAACCATTTAAAGGGAATGATTGTGTTAGCTCAGGTAAAAAGTGCATCAATATGAACATTATTTTATTTTATTTTATTTGAAAGGTGAATTAATCTTTAAAATTATGGTTCTTAGTTGAATGAAAAAAAATTTGACACTCTAAAAGTTTAGACTTCCCTTTGTCCGATAAGGGAAATCATAAATGAAAAAAAAAGGAATGGCATAATTGTGAAGTGTGACTTTGTTTTCACTTTTCTGCAACAACTGTACACATTTTTGTCATTTCAACTTTTTCCCAGTATTATGTGTGTGAGTGGAAATCATTTCATTGTCAATAAGGCAATAAAAACACTTTTTTATTTTATTTTATTTTATCAATCTAATATTTAAAAAAAAAAAAACAAAAAAAAATTCCTGGCGTTATAATACAAATCTAATTGTTCGAAGTGATGAGAACTCTCAAAACAAGTGGTTCAATTCTACTTAACAACTAATGTGAAGCCTAAAGATTTTGATCATATCAGCATCATGGTTCTTCTAATATTTAAAATGAACAAGAACGAAATAGGAATAAATACAATAAGAAAACTATTGCAGCAACATATATTTTTTCACCGGTTGCATTTATAAATACTCTAATTGTTATCTGTGTACAACAGCAAACGATCTAGAAGAAAGATCTTTTAACACAATATATATAGAAAGGAGCAGTTTCAGTTCCTTCCGTGATTAAAGACAAACAAATGGTAAAGCTTTTCGGTTAAGAACCAAACTGTTTCTCCCAAGATCTTCCATCCCTCGGATAAACAACAGCAGAACAGAAAGAAAACTAATGCAGCAACATATTTTTTTCGCCGGCTGCATTTATAAGTAAGCTAATTGTTATCTGTGTACAAGAGCAAACGGTCTAGAAGAAAGATCTTACTTAATATATATATAGAAAGGAGCAGTTTCAGTTCCTTCCGTGATTAAAGACAAACGAGCAGAAAAGCTTTTTAGTAAAGAACCAAACTGTTTCTCCCAAGATCTTCCATCCCTCGGATTAACAACAGCAGAACATGAAGCTCAAAGCTCTCGAGACCATGGAGATCCCTTGATCTACTTTTTCCGTCTCTAATGGATCTGAATGCCACCTCTTATATCCTGCACAAAATCCCATGGTTGGGTATTATAGTTAGAGCAAAAGTTTATGGTAGAACAACTACTAAGCTTGAATCAAATTTCAATTCTCTTTCTTATAGACCTTGATACACAACCAGCTTCTAACATCATCACTTGATACAATATAGACAGAGGGTTCATAATTAAATGGTGAAAAATTGTTGTCATTGTTTCTCTCCAGTTTTGTTACGGATTTAAAATACGTAATGTTTTTTGCAAGTATCACATTTCCGTTGGTAATTGTGCTTTAGATGCAACATCACCACCACTAAATTACAGAGTAGGGAGAATTGGAATTTCGAAGAGTGAAAGAGAAAAAAAGTTTAAAGTGAACATGAGTTTTAGCAAATTGAAAGGGGAGGGGGAACTTAAAAAGGAAGTTTATAAGGAAACAAAATCAAATTTTTATGGAAGTTGGTGAATTTAACGATGGCACTGGTCATGGAGAGGTCAAAGCCAGCAGCATGACCAAAAGTAGGTTAATTGTGCTGGTGGAGATATAGAGGTCTCACTGGTGGTTGAAGATGGTGGGTGGGGACTACAGATATAAGCTTGGGCAGCAGTGGTTGAGGACTGAGGGTGATGGTTGTGCTGCTGACAGGAGATGGCAATGGTGGCATTAAGTTGATGAAGATGGTGAATTGGTGTTAGGTTGATGCTTTTGTGGCGCTTATGTTGCTGTCACGACAAGAGTCTGGATGAAGGTAGTCGGCAGCAGTGGAGGACGTTGAGGTGATTGATATTGCTGTGGTTCTGCCCCCAGCTAGCTGTCAAATGCCAGAATTGAGGTAGAGAGGTGAGGTAGTAAGAATAAAAAGGGGGCAGAACGCCAAAAAAATAGGGTTGATTTTTCTGGGAATCTATTCCTAATTTAAGTAATCTCATTCCACATTCAAAAACCTATTAAACGTTACCAGCATGTTAAAATAGGATTGCAGGAATGGGATTGTGGGTTATTTGATGCAACAGATTAACAAGTATCAATAAATGTAGGAAATCAACGCCTCCATTTACAGGAAATGCGGATGTTAAGATGGATGATAGGAATAACTAGGAAAGATAGGATTAAAAATCAAAGAATTAGGGAGAGACTAGGCGTGGCGCCCATTAGCAAGAAAATAAGAGAGTAGACTTAGGTGGTATGGGCATATTAAACGCCGACCTATAGATCCATCCGTGAGAAGAGGAAGATTGATTTCCATAGGGGGTAAGACACAAAGAAGTCGACTAGAACTAACAAGGAATGAAGTGATAAGAAATTGATTTCAAAAAATTAAAGCTACTAGAAGATATGAACTACAATAGAAAATAGTGCAAAAAGAGAATCCATGTGGTCGACTTGTTTGTACGGGATAAAGGCAAGGATGATGATGAAGAATAAATGTAGGAAATCACACACAATGCAAGGGCTCAGAAAGAAGAGTTGGAAGAAGGAGAAGAAATAGGCAGACCAAGGGGATTAATGGTGAAGGCACGGGAGTCAGTGTACCATGACAGGGAGTAAATAAGCTTGGGGGTTATATGGTGTTTCTTGTTTACTTGTTTATTGCCTTTAATGCTCCAAGGATGACCATATATATAGCTTTTGTGGATCCGAATAATACCCAGTGGTCTGAAACCTTGTCTGTTATTACCCAAGGGTCCGAACACTAGACTCGTTATTGCATCAGCTGCCCTTGAGTGGGCTACTCGATCAAATCACTCCTTTTCGTCAAGGTTCGCAGTAATGCATTGAATGACTACAACTAAATATTAAATGGTGGTGAAATAACGAGGAGCAGAGCATTAAACGCGTTCTACATTGATTGCAACTTTCCCTAACTTGGCACGTGATCATCCATCCTTTTGACCAGGTTCAGTACTTGAGTGCCTGGATGAACGCTGACTTCTTGTACTCCATTTGAAGATCCTTCTAAATGTCCCAGATGGTAGCTGGGAGGACACAATCAATCTTTACTGTCCTTTTGTCCTTGCCAGCCAATTTTTCTCGAGGGGAGACCTAGCTGCCCCTCAAGATCCCGCTAGACATGGAAGAGTGTCCTGGGTTAACCCTCGAGAATTTAGTGATTAAGGAGAATGTCCCAGGGTTTTGAACTTGAGGGGGTTGCCCCTAGAGGTTTTTAGTGGACCAATAAGGTTTTCCTTGGATTTCAACTCAAGGATTGTCCCTCAAGATTTTTAGTTGACCTGGGAGAGTATCCTAGGGTTTTGGACTCTAGGGTTGTCCCTCAAGTTTTTAGCTGACCTAGGAGAATGTCTTAGGTAGACCTGATGGGGTGTCTCAGGGTTTGATTTTCGGGGATTGGGTCCTGCTGAGGTGATTGTAGTTTGACCCTTAGGCTGAGGTGGCCATCGTTGCTTTGACTCATCTGATATATGGGGTACGTCACATGAGTGGTGTGTATGTGATACCCACAGGGATTCCATTCATGGATCCCATTCCATGTGAATGCCTGGGATTTTGACTGCAAAAATTCAATCTTATGGGGCATGGCTATATTTTAGAAATAGATCTTTATGGTGGAAGCTTTCCTTCCCTGTGCTCCTCATTGAATGTATTGCATAGCCTTTGTGATTCAGTTTGTGCTTTGCATTTTCGCCCTCTTGGATTTCACAATACGACCAGATAACATTATGCTATTAACTGGTCTCCCATCAATTGAGGTCCTCAAAAAGGATGAACTGGGTATACACATCAAATCTAGTCTCTACTTTTTTTCCCCCCAGAAAGTAGCTTTCCATAATTTAACCTGTGTTTTCGTGCTTGCTCTATCAATCTAGGAAGCTGGGAGGGTGCACAGATTACAGCTAACCTCCAAATTTATTCCATAAGCCTATAACATGAAAAGGCAACAAATTGCACAAGAAACCTGTTTGGCATACCCAAACACTATAGAGAATGTGTAACAGCATAATGGAAAGTATTTTGCAGGACTTGGAGTTCAATTGTTGTTGGTTAGTAGTCGGCAACGCCTCCCCAGTGAAATGAACATCTAGTTATCCCTTGTTCATCTTCAAGGAATTCATATAGGATTCAAATATATTGTTTCAACCAACCTAATACTACCATTTTGTTCTAGTTCAAGCCTCCTGTTTCCAACCTCTCGTATATTTTTAGTCAATTTGAGATTTTTTTTACCGATATACACACCCACCCATATACAAATCCAGCCATGTTCGTGTAGATAAGACAGTATTATGAGATCGCCATCATTACTGCGCATACTCGAAATTCCCTTATCATGCTCATTAATGGATTACACAACTTTTTAAACACTAAATGTCATCTAAGTACACCCAATTCAGAAGAAACAAAGACCCACCACCCTCCATCCCTCTTCCTTGCTCATAGAATAAATGAAATTGAACAAAAATAAACATTCCTAAACGCCATTATATTGTTTCAACCTAGAGAAAAAGGCAATTAACAGTAACAAAAATTGTCCAACCCAAACATCTAAGACCTCAAACTTTCTATCAAGAATCCTTTGATAGAACTACTTAATAATAAAGATAAATAAAAACCAATGTGATAAGTCTGAGTAGCATACCAAGGGAGCCTAAAGGTATCTTTCCACCAGCCATTTTTTGCGCAGTGGGCAACAATTCTATCCAACCGTGTAATGATCTCAGAAAAAGTCGGTCTCTCAAAACTTTTTGGGGCCCAACATTCCTCAATCAATCTGCATACATTGCAGGTAATATGGAAAAATATAAGAATACATTTTTTATTTCAATTTGGGCAACCATTAATCACTAAAAAAAACGTTATTTATTTATTGTCATAAAATATGCTTAGTCACAATTTAATAGATAGTCCTGACTTGCCACGACTCATTGGATACATGGAAATCTACTTAAAAGAAGAGAGAATCTATGGATATCAAAGTGACCCTCTAATGAACATGGAATGGAAGGATGCCACTATGTCATTTGAAAAAAAATATATCAACCACCTCATTAGCCCATACATGGACATTACGAAATGAATAGAGCAATGAATCATTCTTAGTTCCCATAACATCTTGACGTTGTTTGTCAAACACATAAAGACCCCGCATCTTAACACAAGATCAGATGCCTTAATGAAAATAGAAAACTTCCGGTTAATATTTATTTTGATTACGAAATGTCATCAACTACTCCAGGGTGGAACTCTTAAGGGACAAGGGGGAGCCATGCCCCCCTCCAATGGTCCAGGACCAGTGCAGAACACTGCTAAAACTTTCAGAAACTAATTTTATAGTTTGTGTACTTATAGTTACTTATTTTTATTAAAAATTGTATTATGGCTCCTCCAAATAAAATATTGTTTTGAAGCATGGGTATGTCCCAAAATTTCTAAACATTGTATCGGTACAAATCTATAACAGTGTAACTAAACAATAAACTTTTTCTCTTCCATGTTTTTCTTCTTATTTTTTATTTAGGATGCTTAGTATAGAAAATTCTGAAATCAAGACAAGGAAAGGATTAACCTTTGTGGATATTGTAAGAGATGTAACCAATGTTTTCTTCTTTTTCTTTTTATTTAGGATGCTTAGTATAGAAAAATCTGAAATCAAGAGAAGGAAAGGATTGATCTTTGTCGAAATTGTAAGAGATGTAACCATGTGAGAACTCACATTTTTGTCAATTACATGACATTCATATGCTTAAGATCAATCTTGAGGGCATTGCATAAACAAATTCATTTTATGATTAAGATGTCATCAAATAAAAAAGGTTAGTTGATGAATGACTTGGTTAACATCAAGTATGTACCAATGTTTTTCTCCATATCTTTTGACTCACTCTATGAAAGTCTTGTTGTTACCAATGGGCCCATTGGTATAACCTCCCTACCCTCAAAGAGGAGGGGAGGGTTCAAGCCCCGGCATGGGCAATGTGTGTGTGAGTCCTACTTACTTGATAAAAATAAAAATAAAAATAAAAAAGAAGAGAAAAAAAATGCCTTGCTGCTATGATCTTGTTAACTTTTGGACAGCTTGGATTTTTTTAATTGATGTAAATTATGTAATCTCAAGTTATATTATTTGTGATTAAACTAATTGATAGACCAATTTTCAAGACGGTTGATTGCTTCAATGATGATTTTTATTCTCTAAAAGACACAAATTTGTAGGAAATATTTGATCACCTTTTGGTTTTATATTTGTATGCATTTACATCATACTTGACTAATTAGACATTTTTTTCTTCTCCATTCTATGTGTGTGTGTGTGTAATAAAGATGGCCACATGTATTTTGAATGAACATAATGGGCAATGAAATACGTTTGGTTTATAAATAATCTTATTGTAGATCTTCTTACATATTAATAATACGATAGGACTTCAGTTGAAAGAAAATATGACGCTGTTTATAAAAAAATAATTAAGAAAAAAATTAAAACTCGTATTACTAACTTGCCCCCAAATTCAAAATTCCTGTATCTGCCCCTGAACTACTCCATGTTAACATGGTGATGACAAACTTCAAGAAGAGGCCCACATTGCTAACAGGTCCACCCCCAAATTTCTTTCCTTGAAAGAGAGGCACCTGATCGTGAAAATTTTCAAAGTAATGTGTGGGGATGACCTCCAACTACAAACTTTTGTATTACTTGGGTTTTAGGCTTTGTTGAGTTGATGGAAGCATGAAGCATCCTGTAATTGGGGTTAAACTAGCAAAAGGAACTTGCATATCTGAGCACTGCCTCATCTAAACTATGAAAACTGAACAGCATGACACTGTTGCAAATTTGGTGATTTATTTCAAGAAAATAACTTACTCTTTTAAATCTGGAGGATAATGTTTAGATTTTATCTTGAATGTTGGCCTCTTTCCCTGTAGACACATCAAGTTAACAGCATCTTCCGGAGATTTAGGGTGGAAAGGTTGGATTCCCTCCATCATCTGAACCCAATCAAAAAGAAATACAACATAAGAATTTATAGGTTAATCACTTTTCTGTCTGACAAAAGCCTTGCTACTTGAATTGTAGCATGGTGTTTCATTATAAGCAAAAAGGGAAAAGTTTGACACAACAACCCAAATTCCACCAGACATATGTATCCGTGCAGAAATGAAAAGTGATACCAGTAGTTACTGTAGTTAAGTTCTTCAAATCAGGGTCAAAGCTTTCTTATTTGTGACTTATTGGTCAAAAGTGGTATTTGAACCCTGAAAGATCTCTATTGAAATTCTATTGGGATAAGGGCTCAAAGGGGTCTGGGATACTTCTATTATAACTTAGAGATTTCCTCTTTAAAAGTATCAGGATCAACTCAAATTCTACTGGGGAAACATGTCAATGTGTGTTTCTTCATAGGTCAGGCAGTACATGTGTTCTACACTCAAAATTGCACGCATTAGGAAATGAGGAAGTATTGATCAGGCAACCATAAGAATGAGTGAAGGTACCTCAAAAAGAATAAGACCGAAAGAGTATACATCAACACTTCTGTCAAATATTTCACCTTTATAGACCTCAGGTGCCACATATAAACCTACAATTAATAAGCAGAGAAATCAGTTTAAACCCTCAACAAGAGTTCTGTTATGATTGGAAACTAAGACATCTTTTGCTTGATACATGATGAATATACTATACTTTTTTTCTTATAATAAACTATATACTTCATGTATATATTTGACACTTAAGTAAAATTCATTAACTCCTACCTATTGTTAGCAAAACAATACAATGATTGCATTAACAATTCAATGTAAATACATGTAAATTCCAAAATGACAAGTCATGAAGTCAATCAGTCAGGTATACCGAAGACAAGATTATGAAGTAGAGAGAGAAAGGTTTATTTTAAAAGTAAAAAAAATCAAGTAGAGATTCAATTCATTGTGAATGAGTTGTGCTATATGGACTTCAATAAAGCACATGAACTTACTTGTAAAATCAATATTGGCCTCAGGTTGTAGTAGTTTTGCTCTGTCAGGTGAAAATTTTGACATCCTTATTAAACCGAATCCAGCTACCTTCAACTGATTTCCACCATCCAGAAAAATATTTCTGGCACCTTACCAAAATTTCACATATTAAGTAGTGCATCATCCCAATGAATACAATCAAAACATAATTACAATACTCAACAAACTCGAATCAACTCTTGCATTAAACTGCCTTACTTTGGCTTTAAATCACAGTGGATGACTGGGTCTGGTTTACATTCATGAAGATAGTTCATGCCCCTGTTACCAAAAAAGAAAAAAGAAAAAAATCATATAAAACAAGATGGAGATATAGAACAAAACATCAAACGAGTTCTAAACATAAAGCTAGGATACATGAAAAAACCAACAGAGCATAGCTAAAAAATATATTAGAAGTATATAGTGTGAGGAAAATATTGATTCAAACAATGATATTCATAACATATTTAGTACGTAATTCAATGATAATTGGACATGCCTGGCAATATCAAGGGCAAATCTGAGAGCTTTAGATGGAGATAGACGCCCTTTCTTTTGAAGATAGAACCCAAGGTCACCCTGGAAAATCATTATCAACATGAGCATTTTTGAATTGTTGGTTTCTTGTACAAGGTATACTAAAATTCAATCAGTCAAAGCACCCTCTCAAAATTTCAAGTAAGATATGTCAAATGGAAAACTAAGAAACCTATAGTACATCCACACTAAGGAAAAAAAAAAAAAAAACTATAGCCATTATGGCTGTCGGCAACAAATGATTTTTCCAGAACCTCCGGGTAAAAGAGATGAAGGAAAAAAAAAAAAAAAAAAAAAAAACCAATATAAATAGTGCATATTGATGAGATCAAAGATAGAGCTAAGAGTACAATCATTAACATATCAAATGGTCATCCTTGAGACAGAAAATGCCTTAAAGTTTGGCTGTAAAGTGAAAATGTCCTCTTCCTTTAGCTGTGTGGATAGAGTGAAATCCTTCATCCCCCTTATCCTTCAATATACATTATCCGTAAATTTAGGAGAGACACATGTGTGCAGACTGCAGACTCACACACATGCACATAAATACATGCACAGTTAAATATTTTGCATATATATATATATATATATTCCTAGTCACACACCCCCCTTCCAAGGAATTGTTTGCACTCAAGAGGAGTCGAACCTTGGACCTGATGCTTCCTGAATATATTTATATATATATAATGAGAGAGAGAGAGAGAGAGAGAGAGATGCTTACTTTTGGATGAAACTCTGAAACGATCATCATGGGTATATTTTGGGTGACAGCTCCAACAAACTGAACCACATTAGGATGTCGGACCTTTTCTAACAAAGTTAACTCATGTTTGAAAGCATTTCTGCAAAAAAAAAAAATTATAAAATAATGATCTAATGTTATATCTATCTAATTAGACAAATTTATAAACAAATAATATAACAATGTTTACAATAAGAAATGGAATCCCCATCAAGTCATAGAGTACAGCACAAAACAGTAGTAGGATTAATACAAGAACAACAACAAACAAAGTCTTTTTCTCTACTGCTTGGGGTTGACTACATGAATCTTATTATTTCAGTCTGCTCTATCTAAGGCCATAGTCTTTTAGTCAAACCACATGTTATCATATCCTTCCTTACTAACGTATTGAATCTTTGTTAAATTTAAATTCCATATACTCGCTTTAGTTCTATAAATTTTCAATCCTTTTGATTTTAATACATTTCACCACATTTCTAATTTTATTGCTAAATTTTCTTTTGAAGTATCCAACGACACTATATCATTGGCAAATAACATGCTCCATAGAATGTCTCCTTGGTAGTCTTTGGTTATTTCATCTAAAATTATTGTAAATAAATATGGACTTTGTATTGAACATTGGTGGATTTCTTCCTTAAACTTAGTTCTATCACTCTTTTCCATAATTTCATTGTATGACTTCTAAATTGGCATTATTGTGCTTTTTCTCCACTCATTTGGCATCATGTCTTCTTTTACAATTTTGTAAAACAGATTTGTCACACTCTTTCATAATGCTCTCCGTACCTCTATAGATATATTACCAAGACCTAGTACTTTATTATTCCCCATCTTTTAAGTGTGTCCTCCAATTGTTGATCTCATTTATCATTCCTAAATTCAACTATCACAATAAACAAAAACAAACTAAAACTCCCTAAGAAAAAATAAAACAACTTTCGGAAAATTTTCAAAAATTAAAGAGACTAGAGTTATGTTGCCAATAATTACGATCTTCACAAGACAGAGTCATTCATAGGCTAAATATAGAGGGTTTGAAGGCCCAAAAAAGAGTGCAAAATCACGAGAGTGATTTTTTTTTTGGAGGGGGGGTGGTGGGGGTTGGGTTGTGGAGCTAGTTTGAAGACCCAGACTTGGCAGGGGGCAAGTTTAAATATAGTGAACTCTAGCAAATACTTTGTGGGAGCATTATTATAGCTTAACCAGAAGCATAGGTAAGAAATGTACATAAAAAAATTTTCAGTGGGGACGGATGCCCCAACTGACCCTGCTGTAGGTCCGTCCCTGCCTCCAAACTTAAATAAGCTAAATTCATCGAATCAGCTTCCTCTTTCCCAAGCCAAATCGGTTCCCTTTGCACCCAATATGATCGAGTTTCAAGATCATATTAGTAAAGCTTCACAATAACATGTTGGCTGATCAAGAAATGACATGATCGAATGATAGTTGTACTCATATGGGCTATCATGGTACATGTGTGGACAGACCTGGTAGTATATTCTTTCAATTGTAATAATTCAGTGAAATAGGTGAAGCCCAAAACCAGCGAGAAGATATAATAGCACTGATTGAAAATATTGGCTCAATTCCAAATAATTGTCACCCAAGCATGGTTTTGCACCATTCTCAAAAGGTAAACAACACACTGAAATATTCTTCAGCAATTAAAGTAAAGAAGTACTACACATTAGCCGATGTGAAGCGTGCAACAAAGAAACAGGATTTACAGACAGCAAGCAACAACACAAAAACATGAATTGATTGTGAAGAGGACAATCACTCAAGAGTAAATAAGACTATGGGTCTGAGGTGTTTTTCACAGCAAGAAAGGTGTAATACGAGTGTTCTTATTTCTTGGAAGGGATCCCTTTTTTCAGAAATTGAAACATAGCAAGGATCCAAATAAAACAAAGGTAACAAAAGTTTAGCCCTATTTGTTGATACAAGAAATAAGAGCAGGGACTTAATAGTTTCATAAAACTGGACTAACATTAAGTTGAGAAAAGGGGATGAAATTATACATGCTTTCAGGGTCTGAATAGCTATCCTTATCAAGTATCTTCACAGAAACTTTTGTGCCATTCCATTTAGCTACTTGATATGTTCCCTGTCAAGATGTAAACGAATGAAATTGGTAAACAGAGTCTCAATTTGATAAAAAGATATCAGTTCCAAGAGGAAGTTGAAAAAGAAAAATGTATAAAGATAAATTCTAGTTGCATTCTCTGGTACAAAGATGAAGATTGCAGAGGTCACTAAATGTTAGAGTAAATTTGAGCCACAAGATGAAACAAAAATACGGAACTGAAGTATAAATTACATAAGCAACCAAACAAACTGTCAGAAAGACAAGCAACACATCTTTGATAATCTTAACTCTCAAAGCCATCCAAAAACCTACACATGCAGAAAAATGCTATAAGCAACTGACCTTTGCTTCATGCATCAGCTTGAAGTATCAATATAATATAGCAGTGGTTATAGTGATCTTGAGAAATACATTCTAATACTTTACGAGGAACAACAGTTTGGTATGAATTTCACCACATAGCAGCAGAGAAGGATGGATCAGACCATATTTTAGGCCGGCTTGGAAAACCATGCCAATATGGTTACAGAATAAGTCCTGACCCACTTTAGAAAATGCAAGTTTTAGTCTTCCAATATAAACTTATCATGCAGATAAGACACTGTGCACGTTGGAGATAATTTGGGAACGACTTGAAGGCACTAGTGCCTCAAATAATGCATCACTGAACAACTCAGTCGATGACTTAAGCCAAAATTCTTCTCGGAGATTACATCAAAATTTGTTTGTGAAAACTATACAATAAAAATATAACCATTGTTGCTGGATGTCAAGTCAAGAAGTTGAGATAAGCTCCGTTAGTTAAGTTCTTTTTGTCCAATAACTTCAGATGAATATAGTCAAGTAAGCTCCATTGTAAAGGTCAGTGTGTTCAGCACTTTTTCAAGAGTCCTATGAACATACACAGTCACGTGCATGCGACTCTATGGATGAGTTAACTGTAAACACTACATAGAATGAACTTGTCTAATGCAACTGGCAGCAGGTTCAGTGCAAACGTCCAATAATATATACATATTCCATCAACATAGAAGCTAAGTCAGCTAGCAAGACTCAACAAATGCAATTTGTGCAGTTCCAATCTTTATAATTCCTAGCTCCCGAAATAATTTCAGATGAATATAGTTAAGTAATTTTTTCTTTTTTTATAAATACATACTTGCGTTCATTTACGTGTATTATACATTTATAACAAAAATTTACTAACTACGGTCACAACAGGAACTGTCAGATTTTTTGATTTCCTTATTGAACAATGCCAGACAAACTAATTAGAAAAAGAAAGCTAATATTGGTCATTCAGATTGAACACCATGAGAACGAGAAGACTAATTGAAAATAATTGCTCATGTTCAGCTACATGCCTCCTGCAAAGGAGCATTGTTGATTCCAAAAAAAAAAAAAACAAAAAAAAAGAGAGAAAGAAAGAAAAAGAAAAGGTCAGGTCCAAAATGAGGAAGCCTGAAAATTTTAGCCATATTATTGGCTGTAAGTTGTGGAATGAAAGGAGATGCCAAAACACCATCAGGTCCATCATCCAATAAATATTGCAAATCTTTGATACTGGATCATACATGAGTTAACAAAATATATATATATATATATATATATATATATATATATATATATATATAATCTACTTAAAGTTAAGGGCAAAAGGCCTTGCCTTTGTGATACCATCTCCTTTGCGAATCTGGAGCTCTTGAGGATTGAGCTCATACTCTGGCACTTCTCGAGGATTTGCAACAGTCATCGGCGTCTTTCTGATTTTCTGGGGGCAAATACTAGATATTTTTACATTCATCTTCAAAAAAAAAAAAAAAAAAAATTGATCTAAAATGGTAAACTAGTTCAGACGTACCGGAATTTTGGCTCCACGTGCCTTCAAAATATTGTAGACTTCTACATTTCCATAGTACTTAGCATCGGCAGCTGCCTGGTAAGATAAAGAATTCTTTATCAAAGGCATTATTGGAAAGAGATGTAATAAAAGGAAGAAAAAGTTGGCTATACCTTTGGTATTCCTGCAATATGCAATAATTTGTGGCACAGTAAAATGAACATAACAAGGATAAAGAGCTGGAAATGGTACAATAATAGTAATATTTCTCCAATAAAAAATCCCATCTTTAGAGCAACGTATTGCATCATAGGTGTTTAAACATTAAAGTGGTACTCATATTTCTTTATAGCCTTGAAATAAGGACATTTAACAACTGTTCAAGGCCGTCAGAGCCATCAGCACCAACTTTGTTAAACAAGTTGCTTGATCTTACGATCAGAAAGCTCCTTTACACGTACATCAGTGAGCAAAAATAATTCCTTTTGTTTCATAAAAAATGGGCAAGAAGATTATGTTTCCTCATGAACGACGACAACCATAATCTAGAAACCAAAAATACATGTTTTGACTTTTCACCTAATCAAAATTGTTTTCATTGAGACATATTGAAAATGATTGAAACACACCAAAATGATCAATTTCTTGTCCATGTCACCAGCAATTAAAGACAAATAAAATCCATTATCCAATGTTCCAAATATATAATAAAATAAGGGGGGAAGGAGGGGGGAAATTAATTTTGGTTGCTAATTATTATAGCCTAAAGTGCTAACTGGTTTATATACGTTGTTACTTGTAACTTGAGTAGAGATACTTAACTGTGCGTATTTCATAGTTTATGCCTGTTATTTTTTACATTATATTCAATAATAATAATTTAATTTTACTTCTAAAAAATAAGCTTTAAAGTCTTCTACATGTATTTTTACTAGTTAAGAATCATTTCACATTTTTTCTTTTATGAGTAGTCAATATTTGCGTTAATTTCTCAGCTCCATCCTAGTGATGTGTTGTCTGGATGGATTTGTAGGCTTGACATATGAGCGGCCACTTCCAATTTCAAATGAATCCACCCATGAGTCATTTTTCATCATATAAAAAATATATATATGCATATCAAAAGTGAGAGTTAAGCGGAAATGTTTCTCTCACAGGAAAAAAAAAGAATCACCAAAGTGGGAGGAGGAATGTTCTATATCCGAAACATATGAACTATATGGGCTAGACTTCCTCATACAGGTGGAAGATTTAATGTGCTAGTTTGACGATGTGATTGACGATTCATGAGTTAGAAATTGCACCAGAAAAATAAAAATTATAAAAATTATAATAACTATATTAATTATTATTATATAGCTTCCAAACAAATATTTGCTGGATGGCAAGCTGATTTATCTGCTTTTGATTTTACAATTGAGAATATTAAAGGCACTTCTAATTCTTTACCTGACTTTTTAACTCGTAAATTTTTACAGGGTTCATGACTCCGCCCAATCGAGGGCAAGGCCGTGGTAATACCACAAAAGGCCGCGGAAAAACAAACGCTAAAGCAGTGATATCGCTTGAGGATGAGCAATATCCAGCTGGAGCATTTATCTGATTTGCTCCAAACACCAAATAAAGTGGTGGGTTCTGCACAGAAAACAATGAAGGAAGTTCTTAAAGAAGAAACTCCTTATCTACCTAATTTGAGGTATAAACAGACTATATTAATTCTAGATTCTCAGGATGAACAATGGATGCCAGATCCATGAGAAATTAAATCTAAATACTTTCAGACTCAGCAGTATGCTGCTCCAGAAGGTAGACATAGATATGTCTATGAAGTCATGCTTACAGAAACTGCCTCTGTGGAGATTACTCACACAAAGCAAAATGCTGCTCAAAAAGAAAGTCCTCTTGTTTATAGCAAAGCTATTTTCAAGAGAATTATGAGGTCCTTTGACTGGGGTTTAAATCCTAATAGCTCCCGGAAGCTTACTTTCGGATATTGCTATAATTATTGGGATTGTATTTCAGCATCGGCAAATTCGTTCTTTTATCAGAATTCTAAAAAGAAGCATTCTTGGTTCTTCAAGATATGTCCTCAATCAATTAAGATTGAATTTCCAAATTGGATTATTCAGTGGTGGAATATCTTTGGCCCAGATCTTACTGTTCTCCCTGAATCAATGAGGCAATTATTCCACCCATGGCAACAATTTCATCCTCAATTTAGAGGACAGGAAAATATTCCTGTAGGGAAACCTACCCTATTATTTTTTGCAAAATTTGGAATTCCGTGGATATGGAAATGGGATTTTCAATGTAGCTACAATAGAGCAAAGCTACCAGTTCTAGAAAGAACTTTCTCCTACAGAAGGTGGTCGACTCAGCAACCAGTTCAGGAACTTCTGTCTATTATTAGACAGAAAACTTTGGCATATCATAATGCCATTCCAAATTGACATTGGCTCAATTTCCAACAGCCCCTGATACTTTTAACCCTTTTGATTTGGTTAAAGAAATGATCAAGAAACAAAATCCAATAATCACCCAAACAAATTTAATGGTGAAATGTATGGATTTCTTGAAGAACAAATTTGTTAATTCATTTGGTTCTTCATCATCTCAAATTAAAGATGATTCTTCAATGGCATCTACAACTAGTCAAGAAGGAAATCAATTCCATTGTTTGGCTAGAGAAGCTCAAGATCCTAATCAAGATACAGATCAAGAGGTGGAGCCCAGCACTGAAGATTATTGGGATTCCCTTACAATCCTAATGGCAGATAGGATGAAACCTCCTAAAAAATAAGATTCTCAACTATCTTGCCAACAGAAGAATACAGAACTTTTTATAAAAGCTTTGATTACACAGGAAGAAGACAAAGAACTTTTCAGAAGTCTTTAAATCATTATGACTTTACTCTTGTCAAAAGACTAGCAACACTATCTGACAAGAAGACAGAAACTAGTGGTGGACTATTCGACTGCAAAATAATTCAACACTCGCCATCCAACCACTATGCGGACTTCAAAGTTTATTTTTCAAGTCCGATGTTTTATGTATAAAAGGGGGCATTGTATTCCCTCAATATGTCTTTCAGTTTTCTATTCTCTCTTGTATTATATTTCTAAGTATGTACTATTGCTTTGAAATAAAATAAAGAAAATCTTTCTGTAAGTTCTTTTCAAAGTTAAATTATTACTTTTAGTTTTATAATTTTATTATATCTATAGTGGAATATATAGTGCTTTATCTTTAGTGCTTTACATAGTGATATTTTAGTACTTTACATAGTAATGTTTTAGTATTTTTTTTTTTTTTTTTTTTTTTTTTTTTTTTTGTGTATACCATTATTTAGTGCTTGTTTCTATCATTTCCCATTAGTATTCCATTTTGTACCTATCTTTTGTGATTTCTTTTATATTCCATTATCTTTAATATATCTTAGGCATTTTTTGATGAAGTTAGATTGCAAGGAACTAGTAGTATGAATATTATGGTAATTATGTAGAGAATAACGATATTCTTATTCTGTTAAAATCCTGTTTAATCTGATGATATTATGGGTCGTCCAAAAGTCACGTTGGAATATTTAGACAAACTTTTGCATTAAATTGCTCCATAGGTCAATGATTCCAGTAAACCGTTGACAGACGAGTAATATCATCACTCCTAAGCAGAACAAAGACAGAATAATAAATCACAATTCATTATATAATGCTATAATAATCATACTACCAGAACCTAAAATATGTATTTAAGCCATCATGGCTCTGATACCAAAAATGCCCAAGATATAAAAGAAATCACAAAAGATAGGTACAAAATGGAATACTACGTAATGGAATACTAATGGAAAATGATAGAAAAAAGTACTAAATAATGGAATACACAAAAAAGTACTAAAACATTACTATGTAAAGCACTAAAGATAAAGCACTAAAATATCACTATGTAAAGCACTAAAGATAAAGCACTATAGATATAATAAAATTACAAAAATTAAAAGCAATAATTTAACTTTGAAAAGAACTTACAGAAAGATTTTCTTTATTCCACTTCAAAGCAAAAGTACACACTTAGAAATATACTCAATTGTAAAATCAAAAGCAGATAAATCAGCTTGCCAATAATAATAATAATAATAATAAAACATCCCCCAAACTCTATGATATGGTGAATGGAAAAATGCAACCTGGTTTTGAATTCATGACATTTGTTAGACAATGTAGGAATAGCAGATAAAGCAACATTTGTTAGACGCCGTAGGAATAGCGGATAAAGCAAAATAGAACATAAACGAGGAAGATGCCCATCAAGTATTTGGCTTATATTCGCTCAATAGTAGACCTACTTACTATTTCCACTTTCCATGCCCTAACAAAACCTTTGCTGTTTTATAAATTCCCACAACCTCTTCATTTCCGATCTAATCGAAACGACACTCCAAAATTTTTTTATCTTTGAGATCCATAAATCTTATCTAAAAAGGCCATAAACCAGTATTATCAAGCCAATGCAAGGTGCTGGGAGAGATGGACTCTATTCAAACCTAACCTAACATTATTTTCACCACACATCCATTGCATTAACGCTGCCTAGACATTTCCTGGTTTTAAAGTCTAAAGTTTTTGAAGTATATTTTAGTACATATTAGGTATTTGGCATATCCTAAGTTTGGTCCTGAGCTTAAAAGTGGAAATCTATTTGAGAAATCAAGCTACATGGAACTTTCCTCTACCTTAAAGAGACAAAGGATGTTTTTGTTTAAATTTCTCTTGATTTGGTAACTAATACAGAGTGTATTGTATAGTGCTCCCATTATGCACTTCGATAAAAAAAAAACAGGCCACCGCATTTTTTCATCCAGCTCATTGATTGGTTTAGTTTTGGGTATCTTCAGAATTCAAATCTTAGTATTTTGCCTTCTTTTATTTTTACTCTGTACAGTCTTTCCAAGGTGCCTCTAACTTAATAACTTAATCAGCCGCATTGATCTGGTCCAATAGGTTTTGGGTTTAATCAACGATGAGCAGCTGTGTTATTCGGTTTCAATATGTGGATTTGTCATTAACCAAACCAACCTAAGTGGAGTAGCACACGTGCTATGTAATGGAATAGAGGTCACAGACATCTAAAACCATATATTACATATTCATAGCTAATCAAGGATAAGGACAATTATAGCATGGCAAAGCATAGAATCAGTTGTAGGACGCTTGACATTAGTACCACTGACTCGAGTTCGAGCCTCACAGCAAAGCAGTCACTTTGTGACGTACCAGGCTTGTCTCAAGTCCTCCCTTCCCAATACCCTACCAAGACACCTACCGCCCGGGACCAAAATAGGGTAATGTTCATTTTGGAGTATTGAATCAGAAGTTAATTAATCTAAATTAATTAAAAATAAATAAATAAAATTGAGTTACCACCATACCAATCATAATCAAACAAAAGTAACAACTATAATAACAGCTAGTACTAGCAATATAGCAATGCATTATGCATGAACCAAATGAAGCAAAAAGAAAAGTGTCTACCGTACTGCCCCAACGATCACGGGCATCAAAGTTGGCCTTCCGGCTCAGCAAGAGATTCACAACCTCGATGTGCCCTTCGCACGAGGCGATATGCAAAGCAGTCCGTCCATCCAAATCAATACTGTTTACATCAGTGCCCTCGTCCAGCAAATCCTGCAACCCTTTCACGTCCCCTCTACACGCCAGGAACAACAATTGCATTGTGGAGTCCAGATTTTCCGGCACCGTGAGCTCCTCATTGACCGGGCTCCGATGAATCGGATCGAGAGAAGACTGGCGCCCCAAAGTGAACCGCATATTGTTGCGCCGGGGATCGAGAGAATCCTGTCTCTTGAAACTGAACCTGCCGCTCCTCCGGAACGACCCCGTCGAGAATTGCCGCGAGATCCCGCGCTTCAATTGAGCTGCAACCTCCATCTCTCTCCCTCTTTCTCTCTCTCCAGAAACCCTAATTTCCCCAAAACTCACAACTCGTGACCTATGTAAAATTCAAACATGTCGAATCAACACAATCTCCTCAGATTCAGCCAAACTACATCGCTAAAAATGCACAAAAAAAAACCCGCAGAGTTAGCGCGAAACGATCACACCTACAAAATCAAGAATTTGAATGCGTGTATACATGAATACACATATACAAAATATATACAAATATATATAATCGGTATGATTGTGCAATGTCGAAGAAGTCACATAGGAGAGTTCGATCGCGAGCTCTGAAAAAAGCTCTAGATGAGAAATTAAGAGGTGAGGTTAGATCTGAGACAGATTGAGGGTGATTTGGACGTGGAAGATGGAAATGAGATTGAATGGAGAGGAGAGAGAAAGTAGAGAGAGAAAGTAGAGGGGAAAACGGTTGAATGCTTAAGAAGGACGGAGGAAGAGGAGGAGGAGAAATGGGAGAGGAGTGGCTCTGATTTGGAACCACAGCTTTTTCTCGTTTTTCTTTTCCAAAAACCGAAAAAAGCCGTTACTATTTGATAATCGCATCGCGTGTGCTGGGTTTTCGGGTTGTCCAAACGCGCCAACAGTGGGGCTAAGGTAGTTTTATGGTTACGGCTCCATTAGGCTGCCAATCACAGATAGCCACGTGTGGCGGGGAAAGATGGTTGAATTTACTGAATTGCCCCTTCTTTAAATGGTGGGATCGAACAGATGTCGGCAGAGCTGCAAACAAGTGGAGCTTCATTGTTGAGCAGGGGAGCAATACATACAAAAATTGATTGATTTGTTTTTTATTTTTTTTGCGGGTGATGTTGAGGATGGAGCAACAACATAGATAAGAATAAACTTTCTTCTTTATCTTAATTACTCTCGCGTCAATAGATAAATAAAGAGGGGCGGAGCCGGTATCTATTTGCTTACTATAATATACATACCAAATTTATATATTTTTATATATATATGTGAAAAAATTCATATAATACTCTTTATATTTTTATTTTTTAAAATTATGTTTTAAATTTTGTATTTCTTCTATTTTTTACTTTTTAAATTCTTTTAATTTCCTTTAAAAAATAATCAAAATTTTCTTTTTGAATTAAACTTTAATTTTTTTTCCATTTCAAAATTCTCTCATTTTTCTTTCATTTTTATTTTTTTTAACTATTTATCTTTCTTAAATTATTCATTGATTAACATATTATTTTGAATAATTTTTTTCTTTATTAAAATCTATATTTATTGTCATGATTATTGATTTTTTTTTTTTTTTTCAGTATGCCCCTGATCTTAATTTCTAGCTCCGCCACTAAATATAAATGAGTTGATTAATTCCAAATATCACTATATTCATACTAAATTCATGTACACTAGTATGTGTTTATAAACATAGGTTCATTAATATGTTTAAAAATAAATATAAATTTGTAAACACATTTATAAACATGTATGTGCTTACATATAAATTCATTAATGTAAATTCATGAATATATGATATGAACATTAATTTGTATACACTCGTATGTGCTTAGAAAATCTACAATGCTTTCATATTCCTCTTTGTTATAGCTTGAAGAAATTCAGGCAACACCTGAGTACTCTTACGTCCCTTGTAGTTGTGTTTTCGAACATAAATTCATTGACATATTTAAAAATGAACATAAATCCGTAAACAAGCTTATGTTCATTAATGTAAATTCATGAATATATGATTGTGTAGTATTGGTATAAGTTCATAAACAAGTCTAAGTAATTTTAAATACTCCGTACAAATTCAAATCGAGATGTGGTAGTCCAACAAGATGGCTCACATCATTAAAGAAGAATAAATTTATATGATCCATTGCTTATCAATCTCGACTCATTACAAACTGAATGAAACTACTATTCACATGTATGTGATCCCACAACTGATTGAAACGGACCGTATAATAATTCCCCTTATGGATAAGTTCACACACAAGTGAACAAGCCAAGCCCAAAGAGACAGACACAAGCTTCAACTCCACTCTAAAGTAATGAAGTGGTGGTCCCACCAGATGACTCCATATCAGAAAGCTCCATATTAATATAATCAATGACATGATATTATTTATATCATTTGAGGCCGTAGTCATAAGTCAATCAATATAAACCACATTATTGATGGTGAAAGTCACACAATATCTAAATAAACAAATGCCACCGTGCCCAAAAAACACGGCAAGAGTGGAGTGTTGCTTTATTAGGAAGGGGATGTGGTAGGTCCACAAAGTGGGCCATATGACAAAATAATTGAGTTGATTATAATACAAAAGAATTGAGTTGCTTATAACACGATAATGCATGTGCATGATATTGTCAACTTGTTTGAATGACATAAAACTGATTTTGTAATAATAGAATTGACAATATAGATTGTAAAAGGTATGATTTTGGATTAATCTCATCTAACGGTGAGATCCACGCCTTCTAATGTAGAATGACAGTCCACATTTTGACCAGCCACTTTGAATGCTAGCCATGCCAAACTACTTCCGATGAATTATAATTAGACCATATAATAATTTTTAGGGTATGTTGTATGGGACCTTTAGGGTTAAAATGTAATTTTATATAGTTTTAGGGGTCTAAAGGGGTGTTGATGCATATTTTTAAAATTTCAGAGAATAGCTGAGTGACGTTGACCAAAATCTCAGGGTGTCAGTGCAATTTATCCTAATTTTTTAATAGAGATAGCACTAAGAGAAATTATTAGAAAGTCTTAGATCATTGACATTCGATGGACCACTTAAATACATAGTTTCAAATTGAAAAAATAATTTTAGGAGAGTATATTAATATATAGAAAATGATATTATGGCCGATTACTTTGACAGATTTGTAAGACCGATGCATGCGTAGCTAGCCACATCATGATTTCAAAAGCCATCCCAAGCCTCTCATCTCTTCCCCTTCTTTTTCCAGCAGCCACTCGTTCCCCAAAATCGTAAACCAATCTCTTGACCAACACTCCTGATCTTCCCAAAATCATAAACCAATCTCTGGACATCCGTTTTGCACTTTAATTTGGAGTCTCCAACAGCACCTTTAAGCCTTGATTGTGTCTACTTCGCCGGCGATGGGTACTACATAGGCGAGCCGAAGCAAGAGCACCGCCGTTGGCGTCGATCAAAATGGCGTAATCGGCACCACCATCCCCAACCCCCACAGTCTGCAGTTGAAATAGATGGAGAGAAAAAAATGAACATTCTCTCTCTCAACCACAAGCAACTACCGTTCGGTGTTGATCGACAACGTGAAGGGCGGTACACATAACTTCAATATCGATCTATTGACGCCGACGAGTGCACAGAACCTCAAGCGACTGATTTTCAGTGATCAAACGAAAACCAATATATATTACAAAATGTCATAATAAGAGGGTTGTCATTGAATTAATCTATCAAGTGCCAAAAAAAAAAAAAAAAAAAAAAAAAAAAGCATTTAATACTTTCTCCTAAATGTAGAATGAGTTACTAAATTGCCCTTCCATTAAATAATGAAATAAAAAAGGACTATAAAGATGTAGTGTCCCACAAGGTGGCTCATATAATTGAAGGAATCGGTGGATCGTGACATTCATGAACAATTTCCTTTTCGTATCATATGGGCTAAAGATTATACGCCTTTTATTTATTTATTTTTTTGTCCTTTTTTATTTCGGTCCAATTTTTGTTCTTAAAGGTCTTCATTTTCGGTGTACAAGCTCACTCTTTTAATTTATGTATGTTTTCTTCTTTGATACTTCCGATGCAATTTTATCACATTTATTAATGAAATTTAAAATACGAAACAATGTTATTTTGACATGTACATAATATAATATATTTGTGCACAGTTAAATTAACATCCTGCAGTACCACATGATGTCGTTTAAATAAGTAGAGGTGATATATTAATATGTACATGATATGTTTAGGGAAGGATCGTTAATCTCTACTCACAATTTTATCATATTATTTTACGGTATAAATATGCTTATGAGTTATGACTTCCATCTATATGCCTTGCAATTATAACATCAGTTTGTCCATTATTCATTGAATTTTGTAGGCAATGCACAAGTATTTGATATGCCAGATTATGACATTAAAATCATATGAATATATGTAAATATTATCTCGATTTCATATTAGTAATCTACTATCTTATTTTTAAATATTTTAAATGAGTTGTTCATTTGAAAGTCAAAACAAATAAGCCTCATTTTTTCATCATTGTTTTTTATATTTTTTTTAAAAAATTAAACTTGGTAATTATACATATTTAAATTAAAAAAAACAATTTGAAAATTTTATTGCATGTACTTTTAAAAACTCCAATTTCTAAATATGGACATCTAATATGAGACGGAAAGAGTGAAAACATTTGCATGTACTATTTGAATGTATTATAAGAATACAACTTGATCAAAAACCAACTAATTCGATGATAATATATTTTGGGTAACAGCGAAAAGTAACCTATGTATGTGAATATATATCCTTATTCCTTCGATCATAGACTTGAAATACAAGTTATAAAACATAGCGACTTACAGACAAAGGAGATTTAAGAACCTCATTATGCGCTAAATTCTAATAGCCAAGAAGCTTTAATAACTGTCCTCCATATATCCAAGTATTGCAATTCATATCTAATTAATATAACATCTTAAATCTCTAAAAATTTAAAGAGGTAATTATCGGAAGAAAAAAAAAATTAAAGAGGCCTTCTCGTTAACACACATTATTGTTAAAAGAAATACTAATAATAAAATTTAATCTTTATTCAATTTAGAATGCGAATAAATATATATATATATATATATATATATATATACACCTATATAATATTATTATTAAATAATTTTTTATTTTCATATCAATTTTTAAATTTTATTATTTATAAATATATATTTTTTTGGTAAGTGATTTATAAATATATTATTAACTTCAATACTAAATTTTTTTATTGAATTATATTAACATTAATTGTTAATCACAAGTGCACCTAGGAGAAACGAATACAAAATTACTGAATTATATTAACATTAATTGTTAATCACAAGTGCACCTAGGAGAAACGAATACAAAATTACTTTATTTGGATTCTTTTTTCTAAAATATAACCTATAGATTTAACAATGGGATCAGATTCATTTCAAAATTATATAACCAAATTTATTTAAATAGTTCTTTTTTCTGTACTGGTTTCTTTTATCATTAACCGTCTGTAAACCTTTATCAATATTCTATATATTTTAAACGAACTGTCGAATGCATATTTTGGATTTAATTATAAAAAATGCTTTAGAAGTTGAATATAAAATTATGATTCACTCCAACACTTATTGTTTACAAAATGATTCAGTCGCCTATTTATAAACCTCCTACCTATATTGTAAAACTCTTTCCGCATTCTATATATTCATAGGCCGACAAAATTCTCTATACTTCAGAATTTCTGTTCTCTACGAAAAAATACAACATCTCTACTATTTTAGAAATCTTTCATCTCTATTTACAATATTCCACAGCTTTCTAGACTCTAAATACTAC